TTTTTTTTTTTTTTTTTTAAGAATTGTAAAAAATAATTTAAGAATTATGTAGGGCCAGCACGGACGGACCGACCGTCTCAAAAGTTTTTGTCTTACTTAAAAATAAATAAGTATTTTCTCTTTAATGTAAAAGCAAAACAGAAACTTGTGAACCACAAGAGAAATCAATGGTAAAACAACTTGTCCCAGTGGGGTCTAACACATGTGCACGAATGATTTGGACGAAAGTTATGGCATGTTTGCACTCAATCCTATAACAATTTTGCTATTTAAATAAACAATTCGAAGGGTGAAATAAAGTTTCGTAAATTAAAAGTTGATAAAAATCTCAAGTCAAAGTTAATATATTATAAGATTTACAACTTTTCAATCGCACATTACATTAATTTTTATTAAAATTTACTAAAAATCTGATTTTAATCTACACCAAATTAGGCAAAATTTTGATAACCAATTTTAGTGGTGGGTCGATCTCGAAGAGAAATATTCAATTCTAGTTTAGATATATGTTTCTGAAATATTCTCGTTTGTAACACTGTAAGTGCATGGGTCGTTAATCGAAACAATGAAAATTGATGACTTCTCTATAAAACTAAATTGTCACTAACTAATATATTAGAATAATGTTACTCAAACAGGCTCTGCAAACAAGGCAGGGACAAATGCTGCGTCGACAACACCTATGTGGCTTTTTTCTTTTTTTCAAACAATCCAATAATGTTGTGTCATGTGTCCCTCTGTTTTTATTCCCTGACATTAAACGAATTTGTGTAGCATGATTCAATATATTTGTTAGGACATATGACATGCTGACATCTAGATCGATACTTTAATACAACCGATGCTAGATATCATTATTCTAGCTAAAATCAATGCAAACTTGTGAATGCGGATGCTATGAGAATATGATAATTGAAAACACACTAAGATTTCAAAACTCCTCATATTACTCCCCTTTAATCTTGAACTTTTGAATTTGATAACACGATTCAATTATAAAAATCAATATTTCTTATTTGTTTTAACAATCTCTGGAATAGAACTAAACATATCATTACATGTGAAATGACTATGGGTCTGTTTGTTTGGTATTAATCATTCATTTGTAGTAGATTTATGACCGTTAGTAGCCTACAATTTTTGACCATTGACTCACATGGTGGGACCGAATGTTTGAAAAAAGTGGTCAATTTTCTCATTCTTTCCCAAAATTAATACCAAACAAACAGGTATATTTTTAGGACGAATGCGAACACACAATAATGTATTAATGATTTGTAAATACTTGACGAGCGCATATAGTATAGCGGTATATTTCTATCCTCTATCGAACTCTATGACAATTGACACTATATCTAACTCATTTTCAATATTTTCATCGATAAAACAAGTCATAATACTCATATAACCATTATGCATATAATTGTAGAGAATAAATATCTCCAAACGTGTTTTGAATATCAACAAGAATAAGATTCAAAGGCTAAATATTCATGATACAAAATTCGTCATAATCCTAGCACAAAATTACTTAGTCTGACATGCTAATGGAAATAAAACAAAAGAAGGTAAAATAATTCATTACCCGGAGCTTTTTTATTCGAATTCGACTTTGTTCTTTACCTCTCCAAGCAATCATTTGTTCCACCCTAATTTAGTGTTAATAAGTTGTATTTATACTCCTCTCAAAAGTGTCCAAAAACCTCCAAAAGTCATCCAAATAAAAGCCCAAAAAAAAAAAAAAAATTCCTTTTTAGAGTGAAATATAAAATGGAAAAAAATATAGGCCGCGATCGCTGAGGCCACCATTTTGGCTCCTACTGTTGGTTTTGAGGGGTGGGCAATTGCCCACCTTGAATAAGGGGCGGTCGCCCAGTTATAGACGACTTCTAAAAATTTTAGTCCTTCTCTTCATTCTCTCTTTAGTTTCGATTGTTTACTTCAAATTATACTTATTTTGATCCTTCAACTTTTATTCATGTACATATTAGTCTCTAAACCTTCCACCCAGTGGCCAAATCATCATTCTTTCTTTTCGTATTGCTTATAATCAAAATTGAAACAAGAGGAAATAAACCTAAATTAAGTAGAAATCAACACTTTCAAAATATAAAAGTCCAATAGTACGTCTCAAATAAGTACACAAAATGCACTTATCATTCTACGATTAAAGTATTGAATGATAATCGGAGAATTTACGTTTTCCTCAATTTTCATCCATCGATTTCTCGTTCGCTCAATTTTCGATACTACCAAACATGCCTTATGGATATTGGCATCACAATCTGCATCTTTTGCTTTTTCTCCCACTTAAATAATGACCGCCCACTCTTACAAGCAAAACAAAGGGCTGTCTATTTAACTCTCCACCTGTCAATTCCTTATTGATTAGAATTTGCTTTACTTACCGGCCAATGGGTCCCATTTTTGTAGCACATCCAAAATCCCTCTCCCTCCCTGCCTCTCTCTGTCTCAATCCGCAACTACAAAGCATGACGTAAGTTCGGCTACTTGAGCCGACCGTGGGCAGCCGTCCCTTCAAAACATGGAGGTCGCCACCCTAAAAGAAAAGGTTGAACCCCAACCTTGAGGGCCCCCCACCGATCCTACCTTGGGTCATTGTGGAGGAGGTAAATCGCAGGATGTCCCTCCCAGGAGTCAGGGTGGAGAGCTTATTGATAGGCCTTGGACTATTAACCCTATGGTAACTCCCGCTTGCAACAAAGTCAATTCCACCTTGCGGGGAATCGAACTCTGCACACTACCGCACTGAGCCCTAACCGCCCTCCCCTTTGCCACTGGGAGATATGCCACCCTAAATACTGCGCCTTCTTGATTATTCATTGACTAGGAATGGGAGTTCACATTTAAGTGTTTGTTTGGTAGGGATTTTTGGAGGAAGAATTGATTTTTGAATAGTGATATGATGGAAAATGTGTGGTTGAAAAAGAAAAAAAAATTATTGATGTGATGGAAAATATTATTTTATTGAATAATGTGTGGTTGAAAATGAGAATTGATTTGCTGTAGAATTTGAGAATAAAAAACAAACACCCCCTAATTATTTAGCCCATGTTTGACAAACATTCTTTCAAAACCCATTTTCATTTATATATTTTCAATAAAATCATATTTTTATCATATTAATAACTTTTCTTTACTTTTTAATTATATATTTCTTATCATATCACTATTTAAAATACATTCGTTCCTCAATAATATCAATCAAACACGTCCTTAATAAAGTTGAAATGTAAACAATTCCATCTAAACTGGTATCAAGAACCATCAATTCTGATAACATTATCACACAAAGTTAGAGTAAAGCCTACACTCGCTATTATAAAAAAAAAATTGCATTTTGATTTATTTAACAATTAAAGATGAGTCCCACTGCCTACTATATAAGTCTCTATTTGATTTCACTAAAAAGTTATATTAAAGTCTAAATTAAGTCAACATTTGATTGTTACGACACATTTCAGGACATATTTCATTAATTTTTATTAAAATTTACGAAAAAAATTATTTTTATTCAAACCAAACATGAGCCATAATATTCCTATTTGTTTGTGCCACTTAGACGGGAATTAAGTGGCATTGACTAGGAATAACATTATTTGTTACTAAAATGCAACAGCTAATTGTGTTGTCATAATTATTTTGGGGAAACTAAAATAAATATGGGCATTGAATATCGATACATGCAAATCCCACACGTCATGAATGACAAATTGAACAAAGATACAAGGGAAAACCATTCCACACCCATTACTTCACCACCTCCACATTAAGCAGAACACCTTTGTCTCTCCCTTTCTAGAATTTTCCTTTTCTTTTTCCTTGTCTTTCAAGAATGTCTACCTAGAATCACCGTCCAATAATCGGATACACAGATAGAAAAATATCATTCTCTGTTTTTCGGGTGAGATTCAAATTGGGTTCTTTGTACTTCTTTTTTTTTTTTTTGGGAAAATCTTGGAAGTGTATCAAGTTTTTTTTTTTTTACTGGGATTGCAGTTCAATAATCTTTATGTCTGTGGTGTGTGTATAAGCTTGAAAAAGTGTTGTTCTTGTATTAATGTTTGTTTTTTCTTACCATTGTTTCTAACAGTTATAATCAGTGACAGTGAAGGGTATAACTCTATTTTGTGAAATTCGTTGGAATAAATCGCCTAAATCTTTATTTTTGGCTTATTTTTTATCATAAGGTGTGATTGGGTCATCAATTTTAGTCCATTTTGTGCTAATTGTTTGCATCTATGATTAATTGATTATTGTGTAGAGTGGTGAATTGTTTGTCTTGTATTTGGTTAAATCAAATCCTAAAGTACTTGTAATTACAGTCACAATTGAATTTAGGATAATTAGATCATTTTCATGGTAGTCTGCAAATAAGGTGACCACTTGTATAGTTGTATTGGATCCCAGTTAAGATTTAATCTTAGTTTGATTATTTTTCGTATTTATGTTTTTCTTTTGCGCTTCTGTAAATTACTTGAGTGGAGTAGTTTGATGGAAATGGAATTTTTTTAATTATTTATTATATTTCATCTAAAATAGAGTCAATGGAGTTTGATTCTAAAAAAAGAGTATTGGTATATGACAAGGGATATATTCTTGAATTTTAAATATATGTGTAAGAGGCACTACCATTTTTCTTTGAGAACTTAGATTTTTAGCAATGATAAACACATACATACAAAAAGTATTGGTTTTATATTCTATTGAATATATTCTTGAATGTTAAATATATATGTAAGAGACACTTCCTTTTTTTCTTTAGGAACTTTGATTTTTAGCAATGAGATTACACATACATACACATCAACTGTTATTTTGAGTTGATTTTAGCTATGTTTGGTACTTTTCTATTCACCTTCTTATCGGTGGGTTGGGGTGTAGAACAAATGAAATATGTGGTCTCGTGACATCATTCTGTTATTAGGGACTTCAGAGTGCAGTGCACATCTCTAGTTAGGCATATTAAAAATGATTCTTTCTAAAGCAGCTCCCTAGATTCCTATCGGAAATTTATGCATTTGGTTTGATTTTGTTGCTTTTCTATTTATATCAACATTAGAGTGATTACAGGTTATGAGGTCGTAATCTTAATTTTACACAGGCTCTTGCTGGACTTGTCACTATTACATATGTAAAATAGGTGTTATGGCTTATATGGATCTTGATACTCCCTGGTCATCATCAATTATGGAGTCTTTTGATCGATCTTTCAACATACGCATAGAGGAAGGAAATTCGGCTGAGACTTTGGATTTTATTGAGATTCCAAATTCTTCGACCTCATACAATCATGATATTCCTAAACCTCCTCCACTCCCAAGTAAAGTTTGTCCAAAAATGAAAAATCATAAAGGACTAGCAGATTCTTCTTGTGTTCCAAAGGAAACAAAAGATGCATGGGACAAGCTCTTCAAACAGGGATATGGAGCAGATGTACATATTATTACGGAGGGTGGATTGATTATTGCAGCTCATCATGTCATTCTGGTTAGTAATTGATTTAAAAATGTTAACCTTGACATTTTGAGTTTGGCTCTTTTGATATGAGCTTGGATCCGTAAATCTTGTCCTTTTTTCTTCATTTTTGTGTAGAGCATTGCATCGCCTGTACTTGGGAACCTCCTGCAGAAACCGAAAGTTAAGAATGGTATCAGATATTTAAAGATTCCTGGAGTACCTTATGATGCTCTCTGGGCATTTGTCCGTTACCTCTATTCATCTTGGTATGCTGGGACACTTCCTTTTCATCTTCCCATTTTCTTATTAGTTTATCTCATATAGTTTCTCACTTTTGTATATTGATGCAGCTATGATGAAGACGAGATGAAGAAATATGTTCTCCATTTATTGGTTTTGTCACATACGTACATAGTACCATCTCTTAAAAGAGTTTGTATACACCTTCTGGAACAGGGTTGGCTTAACAAAGAAAATGTTGTAGATATGCTACAATTAGCTAGGAATTGTGATGCACCACGGCTTGTTTTGGTTTGCCTGCGTATGATAATAAGGGACTTCAAATGCATATCATCGACGGAAGGATGGAAAGTAATGAAGCGTGCTAATCCAGCTCTTGAACAAGAACTCTTAGAATCGGTTGTTGAAGCAGATACAGTAAGTTATTGGTCTTAGTCCATTGAAACTTTCGTGTTTCATCCTCGTGATTGAAAGTGTAATTTCGTGTATATATTACTAATACTTCGAGCAGTGCAATTTATAGCGACCTGCATATTATCACCATTACAGTTTCTTTTTTACCCTCTCTCATTGTCAATATTTATCTTTCCACGTCAACATTTCATTTTTCTTGTAAATTTTATGAAATTTGTTTTGATGGGTTATGTCAAATGGATTCTCAATGCCCTATCTGATATTCTCCTATGATGAATTAATTATCTTACTGTTTGTCGTTTGAAGTTGTATTTACTTTCATTAAATTATCAAATTTTGTACTACAAAGTGAGTTTCAGTATCCACATTTTTCACGAGCAGCACGGAAAGTTTATGATATCACACCCTAATTTGTAAGTGAATAACCTATATTAGTTTTAACTTTGTGTCTTAGAGAAAACAAGAGAGATTGAAGAAGATTGAAGAGAGAAAGGTGTATCTGCAACTGCACGAGGCAATGGAGGCTCTGCTTCATATTTGCAGAGATGGATGCAGGACTATCGGGCCACGTGACAAAGTGCTGAAAGGAAATGAGGTCGTCTGCAATTTTCAAGCTTGCAAGGGACTCGAGACTCTAATCCGCCATTTCTCGGGTTGTAAGACTAAAGTTCCTGGTGGATGTATACACTGTAAGCGCATGTGGCAGCTTCTTGAATTGCATTCGCGCACGTGTAATGAGCCTGATTATTGCAAGGTTCCTCTTTGTAGGTATGCTTATTTGCATTGTTGTTTATGAGTATCAAGTGCTTTGTTTTTACATCTTTCCATTTGAAAAGTTTCGTATATTTTGACTGTAGGCATTTCAAGGAGAAAATGCAGCGACAAAACAAGAAAGACGAGGCGAGGTGGAAACTTTTGGTAAGCAAAGTGATAGCAACGAAGAACGCTCTTGGACCATTTTCATCTCGCCAATCAAGTTATTTATGACTCGATCAAGGATGTAAGTTTTGAGGAATGGAGTATTGCCTATATTTTAGTGGCCTTGATCGAATGAACAAAATAGAATAAAGGGAAGTGTATATAGAAATGTGTGCAGAGAATAAATAAATTCGAAACAGTGACAATGTTGAATTATGTAAGATTTATTGTTAACTTACTTGAATGAGGCTCGAATCGACGATGAATAAGCAATCACCAATAGATTCGTGCATTGCCTCAATTCACGTGTAGAAGTTCAGATACAGTACACTCGGGGTCAGATTGGAATGACTGTTTCAAGAACTGTGAATACGAGTCTTGAGTTTGAAACGTCTTTCGTGTACACTTTTCACAGGGCTTGATGGCTACAGCGTTAAAGTTCAAAATTAGAGGTATTACTGCGATGATATTCTCTACCATATTAAGGCTGGGACATTAGGATTAGACATGCTGCAGCCATCTCTCAGGTGTAACCCAAATTCGTGTCAATCGCGCATGCAAAGATTTACTGCATACACTCAGGGCTAGGGTAGCGTACGGTTGTGTACAATTAACTATCAGCAGTTCAAATGCCAAGTGCCAATCAAATTCCGGCCAACATCCTTTAACTTCAATAATTTAAAAGCTACGAACAAGACTAGGATGGATGTATTCAAAGGAATATCAAGGTCTAACCCTTTTAAATCTGTATCACACAAAAGCTCAATCCACAGAAATTTTGATATGAAAAACATAATTATGATAGATTCGCGTCTTCAGAACATCTGTGATGCTAAGCCCCTTCGCCCAATGTCCTCTTTGTTGTGCTGATATAAAGCACTGCATAGAGATTCAAAATAGCTACCAATCAGTTTGTGAACAATGTGAATCGACTCAAAAAACAACAATATTCTAATCTGCAGTTACCATTATTTCCCCGAATAAATGCATCCCCATATTTATTTTTCAATTGCCCATTGACATATTCTTCTGTTTGCTCCATTGCTATGTTCATATATCCATCCAGACAGGCAAGGATACCTACAAAAGACTGTCAGATGTTCATCCACATAAATCATATTGTGTGAAGATAGCTTCAATAAAACTTAGGGCGTGTTTGATACACGTTATTTTCCAGGCAACTAGGAAAATATTTTCAAATTTCCACTTATTTGGAAGATTGATAGAAGAAATTTTCCACAGAAAATATTTTCC